TTTTTATTTTCCTTTTTTTTTTTTCTGTTCAACTGTCCACCAATTCATATTGAACTGTTCCAATCAATCCAACCCCCTCTTCCCGTCTTATACCTTAAAAAAGTATTAGACTGTTGGTAACAATATTTTTTAAATGAAAAAATCAAAACAAAAAAAAGTAACTATTGATAAAACTGCTTCTTCAAAATCAACCGACTGGAAAGCTATATTGAGGGAACTATGGCTGAGAAGACTTAAGATCTTTCAAGGTTTGTTTCTTCATTTTTGTTGGTTCTATCTCTCATTTCTGCAATCAGCGGGTAGCTGGAGGGAACAATGGGCTTTCCGCCGGGGTATAGGGTTCGCAGCCGAGGACAGAAGGGACAAAAGCCCAGTTAATCGTTCACTATATAACCATTGATTAACAAGTTTTTTTTTTTCACTTTATCTGTTGAAACTACCCAGAAAAAATTTGGGAAATAAATGAGTTTTTATTTTTTCAGGATAAAAATTTTATTATTTTTTTTCTGCTTTTTTTCAGCGAGAAAAACGCCGCTGAAAGGTTCTACGCCGATAAGACGACGAATGTTCAGCGGATCACTGTCGTTCAATATGAGCCTTGACGCTTTTCACAATACAACATTACATATCGGTGACGTGGTATCTTTCTACACAGAAGATCGTTCACGGCTCAATGAAGAGGGCTTCGAGAGCCTATCGTCGATGAATAGTGGATTTTTGTCCACTTTGGGGTAAGCGGAACAAATGTTTATGCAAAAAGTGGAGTGGGGGGGAGGGGGGGGAAGGGGGGAGACAGGGAGGAGAGGTAGGAAGGAAAAAAGGACAACATTTGCTGCCAGACAAAACAGATTGATCAGTGGATTATTGAAAGTATTTAAGCAGTCAAAATTAAATGATTGACGAGCCGTAGTGGACACTGAGGAGCTAAGGTCAACCGGTAACGTCAAAGTTATTTGGAATGTTCAATTTTTTTTTCAACTTATTATTGTTTATCATTTTCAGCGCTTTTTATTGCTAAATCATATAAGAACATTTTTTGTCATCAAACAAAAAGAAATTTTTTTTTTCTTTTTTCACTGCAATTAGTTCTGTTTTTTTTTTCTCAGTCTACTTTCTTATCTTTTTTTTTATTTTACCTTTTTTTGCATTAATTATTTTGATAAAAAGTGTAATATGAATGGTTCAACAGCAGAAATCGATGACGCTACGTATATACGTGTTTTCTTGACTATTTGAAAAAAAAAATTAAAGAAAGTGAAAAAAGAAACAGGGAAAGAAAAAAGCAAGCAAAGCAAAAAAAAAAAAGAAACTATACATTCATCACTGATTTTGGTTAACACTGTTCAAATACATTCACATTTAGACAAATTTTTTTTTTTTCAGCTCTATGCCATGTATACATTTAATTTATACAAAATCCCCCTTTCCCCGCCTCTCCTTTCGTCTCTTTCCAACCCTTCCTCCCCTTATCTTCTCTATTAAAATGCACAGATAGATACCAAAAAGAAAAAAATTAGAAGAAAAACTTTTATTGCAGTTCTTCAGCAATGTTTATACAATTTTTGTATGCCTTTGTTCTTTTTCTTTTTTTTTTTTCTCTTTGTTCAATGTCTGTGTGTGTTTCTGCACTTTCTTTTACCTTCATTAGCTTTACTTTCTTTTTTTTTTTTTTACGTCTTCGGTTATAACTGCCGGTTATTTTGAAGGTATACCTTTGCTTCCTGAAATAACCCTCGAAATGGATTAAATAATGGGGGCAAAAATTTTGGCTGCAGGATAACAGAGGATAGAGTATGGGATGCGAGATTAGGGGGGGG